TAATGCTCATGACCATACAGCATGCATGAGATTGATAGTATTGTTTGTATAACATACACATACAGTATAGTAAATGAATGCATGTCCTCATGACTGCTCACAATAGAGCATTGTCTAATATTGTCAAAACATGATGAACTTGTGTAGTGTGAGAATATACATGTTATTATGTGTTAGATGACTATACATACATCTAGCTTCAATTGGAAATGAGATTAGCATTATGCATGGCTTTCAACAACTCTGCCATAAGTGGGTTATGATCATGCCACGTGACACAGTCACATAGTGCATGAGATAAGTTTGCACCCTTATAACAGACGCCACGCCACACTCATGGCTAGGAGCATTTAGACTGGACAATAGATATACCTCTGTCACTCCAAATTTGAGGAATATACTAAACGTTCATAACTATGGATAATAGTATATGCATAATCAAATATATTGCCAAGAACTAGTATATGAATATCCTGTTGCTCAGTGCTTATTTTGTCATTTACATAAAAAAGGATGGAGTGTATAGGACCTACTAAAAGTGCAACAAATAATCAACACTTCACGTGGCATATGGCTCTACTATTAATATTATTATAAGTGGAGAATTACATGTATATATGTGTAATTAGCTGAGTTTGAAGCTATTAGGAGTTAACTTTAGCTCAGTAAAGTGTGTTAATGTTAAACCAAATGGTGGCAGGTGGGATTTGTGGTGAAAATATTATGTACTGTACTAGTTCCTACTATTGTTATTATCAGTAGCGTATCTTTTATTTGGGAATAAATCTTTATGTTTGTCACATTAATTAATTTTTAAAATTTTAGAACATTACTAATACCAACTGACAGTGGTTCAGGGTACAGGCACCCAAAGGCAAGACTCAGAAGGAAGCATGTTTGACCTTGGAAATGGATGTTGTTCACAAACTTAAGTAAGTCGTTTAATGTTATTCTACAAGTTCAGTATAGTTAGTTTATTTTGTGACCTTGAATTTTTATTGTAAAAATATTTGTTGGGATTTGCAAGACACACCAACTAAACCAAACCATTGCTGTTATTGTAAGGCTCATTCATGCACAATATACAGCACATAAAGAGCATTGAAACTTGCAATGTGCATGTACATGTACTTTGTAGTAGGACAAATATTTGATATTTCTAAAATAGTTTAACGATAAAATTGTCATTCTAGATATTAAGCTATCATGTAGTGCAAAATTTTGGAGGTAGTTTAATTTGGCAAATTAGGCGCTTTGATAGCCATTTGCCAAAATAAAAATCTGCCATTTTGAGCCCTTATGCATGTGCTCAACTACATGTGGCCACATTTTCGCAAAAATTTTTCAATTTTAGCAATTTAGCTCCCTCCAAAATTTCCACTGTACAGTATTAAGTGCTAATTGTTAATTTAGGATGAGCTGGTGTTGTATCGTTTGTATGTGACTACTAAAGAAACTTCCCATTCCAACATACACTGATGAGGAATACCTATACTGTAAGTCATGCACTGACTTGTGGTACATGTACACACAATGAAACAGTATTAATACTAAATGTATTGATGATACATGTACATGTACATGTACATGTAGATGTACATGTAGATGTAAAGTAGTTAGGTAGACTATCCCTCAGTAAATGGTATTCAAATACAGTACATATACATGTATGTATTTTGCTAATAGCCTGATGCATAGCAATAAATATTCCATTGGAGACACAAAT